CACCATCAGCTAATAATGGTAACATCAAATATTAATGGTAACATCGAATAGTGATGGCTACACCAGCTAATGATAGTAACATCAAATAATGACGACAACATCAGATATTGATGGTAACATCAGATATCGATGGCAGCATCGGATATTGATGTTAACATCAAATATTGATGGTAACATCAAATATTGATGGTAACATCAAATATTGATGACATCATCAGCTAATGATGGTAACATCAAATATTGATGGCACCATCAACTGATGATGGTAACATCAGATATAGATGGCAAAATCAGCTAATGATGGTAACATCAAATATTGATGGCAACATCAGCTAATGATGGTAACATCAAATATTGATGGCAACATCAGCTTATGATGGTAACATCAAATAATGATGGTAACATCAGATATTGATGGCAGCATCAGCTAATGACGTTAACATCAAATATTGATGACAACATCAGATATTGATGGCAACATCAATGAAAAAATTAAACTCTGTATACGTCACTGGCTGGTAAATAATTGAGTCATTCGTGATCGATAATAGATCACACGTTTAGCTACTCAATAGAAAAAAATCAATAATTTAATTACACAATTTTTTTAAAATCATTTATTCGCATCCGATGATTGTATCGAATATGATTTAATAATGTATAATAACGTAGACTAGCACAGTAGGGCTATAATTAATGTACGTGTATCAAGTGGTGCCTTTGATATGAATCAATTTGGTATATTTGTAGTCGTCTTGGGGGTAGTTAATACATAACGTTACTCACCTGGGTGGGGGGGGGAAGGATGTGTTACGTGGTTGGGGAGAGGGGGGTGGAGGTAGAAATGTGACGTGTTAGATTCATCATATAGATTATGCTAGAAGTACTGTTGATTTTCAGTGAGTGTAGAATAATATTTTTTTCTGTTTTAATAATGCTATGTTTTGATTTTCATTAAGAAACTTTTTTGAGTTAACTCTTCTCTTTTTAACATTTTTAACATCTCCCATTTTTAGTCAAAAGTTTTTTTTTAAACTGGCATTATAAAAAGAAAACTACTATTTTTTCGCCAACATTAAAAATATATTTTTTAATTGGCATTTTATATAAAAAAAAAACAGACATTTGTTTAGTCAACAATATTTTTTTTTAAAACTGACATAATTAAAAGAAAACGATCATATTTTACTCAAAAACTCTTCCATATCCCCCATTTTAAAACCGCCTGATGCAATACAAACAGACCTAAGACCTACCCCTTGCATCTCCACCCCCTCCATGATACGTGGTCTGACGGTCACCCGCTACAGACTGAACATTTTCACTGTCCACCTAATGGGTGATTTAAGCCTCGTTTGCGTCTTTCAACCTCATTGAACTCCGTGGCCTTTATTTAATTTTCTGATTAAAAAAAAAAGGCCAAAACGAAACTTGAACCTAAATTTAGCTTAGTCCAGTACATTCGTTATGTGAAATAATGGGGTAAGCACTTCTCTGGGGGGGGGGGGAGCTGAGGTAGACATCTGTTATCTGTGGAGAGCTCGTCGTCTGGTTCTTGAGGAATTCAACAAGGGTACTCGAAGAAACGGTAGCAAGTGGTCGAGACACATAAATTTGATGCCATTAGTTGTTTCACGAATGTGTTTTGTTTTGTGTACACATTTTTTTAAAATTCTAAAATAATTTATAGTTACCCAGCCAACGTCTTACACTCAATCCTCTCACTTTTTCACACACTTACCTTAATCCTTCCGGTTATTCATCCACATACTTTCTTCACTCCTTTCACTTATAACCTCCAACCATCCACCCTCTTATCACATCTACCATCCCATCCATCATTCCCTCCATTCTCCCATTAACTATCCTCTCATCCAATCTTTCTCCCATCCAACCATCCTCACATCCATCCATCCATCCATTCCTCCCAACCTTTCTCTCATCCATTTACCCATCCATCCTCCCATCCATCCATCCATCCTCCCATCCATCCATCCATCCATCCATCCATCCATCCATCCATCCATCCATCCATCCATCCATCCATCCATCCATCCATCCATCCATCCATCCATCCATCCATCCATCCATCCATCCATCCATCCATCCATCCATCCATCCATTCCTCCCAACCTTTCTCTCATCCATCTACCCATCCATCCTCCCATCCATCCTCCTATCCATCCTCCCATCCCATCCATTCACTTTCACACCCCATTTCACTCTCCCATCCATACCCCCCCCCCACAATATTCCTACCCCCACCACCACCCCTACCTCCTACTCCCTCTTTGATTTCCCCCTATTCATCTCTACACCCCACCCCTTTCCCCCACCCCCAAACTCCTATCTCGCCGTCACCTCCTGCTCCACCCCCACCCACCCCGCCCCCTTTTTTTTCTATCATTCTCTTATCTACAGAGGTTCGCCACTAAAAATCAATACCCCCGTTTTGGCCAGTTTTCAAACTACACATTCAGCTAGTAAGGGAAGCAGGGACAAAGTCCGGGCCTATTCTAAGTCAAGATGTCATTGAAAATGGTCTGCACCGCCATACATCAAAGGGGCAGGAGAAGCTGTTCGATAACAGAATTCAGGCGTCTACAGAACTGGTCAGTCGAGAGCTGTTCTGGTGGCCGTCCAGAGCTGTTCTAGTGGCCGTCCAGAGATGTTCTATTGGCCGTCTAAAATTGTTCTGGTGGCCGTCCAGAGCTGTTCTGGTGGCCGTCCAGAGCTGTTTTGGTGGTCGTTCACAGCTGTTCTCGTGGCCGTCCACAGCTGTTCTCGTGGCCGTCCAGAGCTGTTCTGGTGGCCGTCCTAGAGCTGTTCTGGTGGCCGTCTAGAGCTGTTCTGGTGGGCCGTCACAGATGTTCTGGTGGCCGTCTAGAGCTGTACTGGTGGCCCGTCCCGAGCTGTTCTGTTTGCCCGTCCAGAGCTGGTTGCCGTCCAGAGCTGTGCTGGTGGCCGTCCAGAGCAGTGGCCGTCAAACAGTAGTTAGACCAAGAACATGGTGGGACTAAGGACATTAGCAAGAACACGAAAAAGAACTCCAAGTAACTAAAAACTAAAACTATTCCAATAAACAAATTGTATTTGTGTGCATAGGCTACATTAAGAACGTGTAAGAACAGATCAGCAAACGAGGTTACGGCCGACGTAGAACTCTTCTATGCATAAAAGCACAAAATAGATTAAACAAGAAAATGAACAACAATTATAAGAACTGTTTAGGCGAAAGTATGAGTCCTGTTTTAGAATGATTACATATCATTTAATAGGGATCAATATAAATTATTCTAGACCAAAGAATATGCTGTGGAATTATTTTTTTTTAACTCGGCCTTAGAACTGCTCAAGGCCAAAGATTAAGGTAGAAACGGAGCAGATCAAGAACTCAAGTGTCAGTGACCGGTGCTCGACAGAAGAAGAGAAAAAAATGGCATTCGGCCACGGCAAATCACTGGCAATTACGTGTCGTTTTTATGGCCGGCTTTAGTGTTATTCCAGTCGTCTCAGGGTTCCACTTGACCCTGCCGGTGAGTTATTTGGACATTTAGACGTGTGTGCCGCGTTTATCGTTGGAACTGGTCAGTCGTTTCATGGGGGTTACAGTGCTACGTTGACCAGCCGTCAGTTGACCAACCGCGTCATTGTCAAAACACTACAGGCTGCATTCATTACTGACAGGTTTTAAAGAAGTTAAATTCACATACATAAATTGACACTAAATGTATATATATGTATATATATATATATATATATATATATATATATATATATATATATATTATATATATATATATATATTATATATATATATATATATACATAATTTTTATTTATTTACATACATATATGTATGTGGGAGTATATATATTATATATATACATATAGTATATATAAATATATATATATATATATATATATATATATATATATATATATATATATATATACATATCTATATATATATATATAAACATATTTATTTATTTCCATATATATACATATTTATATATATATATATATATATATAATATATATATATATATATATATATATATATACATATATATACATATATATACATATATATACATATATATATATATATATATATATATATATATATATATATATATATATATATATATATATATATATATATATATATATATATATATATATATATACATATATATATATATATATAAACATATTTATTTATTTCCATATATATACATATATATATATATATATATATATATATATATATATATATATATATATATATATATATATATATATATATATATATATATATATATATATATATATATATACATATATATACATATATACACATACATATACATATATATATATATATATATATATATATATATATATATATATATATATATATATATATATATATATATATATATATAAAACATGAAAAATTGATTTTTTAAAATTATTATTATTATTGAATTATTTTTTTCTATTTTGAATGATCTAGGTCTAGAAACTTACAAGAGAGTTAGAGTTCCAGACAGACCTGCACACCAATTGCATTCGTGTGATTCTTATCTCTGTTGGATTGTCTGCAGGATGAAAGTCAGCTACTGGCCAGCGGTCACCGGCCTACACGGGGCGTCCTGAGAATAAATGCGGGCGTTCTTTGAGACATGGAGAAACCGCTTAAAAATGTGGATCTTGTGAGAAATGTGGATTTTGGGAGAAGTGTGGATTTTGTGAAAAATGTGGATCTTGCGAGAAATGTGGATTACGTTCTGGCGAAAAGTGTGGATTGTGTTCGTGTAAACTCGTTTCTGAAACTACCGTAAATTGAGATTGTTGATAACATTTTAAAACGAGATTCAGTGTTTTAAGTGGAAATTTATTTATTTTCCTTTCAATAAAAAAATAAAAGTGAGTGTTAGTAGATTCAGTCCAACTGTGAAGGAGTTTGTCTACTGAATGTATGTGTAACCGCAATGGCTGTTGTATCCTTGCATAACCAGGCGCCATACAGGCGAACCTACAGTAGCCGGGAGAGACTGAACGATGCGGCCGAAAGAAGCGAGCTCTGGCTCCATCCGGGCGACCGGAACTTCCACGGCTCCGGCAGCAACCCGAACCTCGCCCGGCTGGCGAAACCGGTGGCGCCCCGGCGACGGTGCGTGACCTTGGACGGGGAGCTGCTGCCCATCCAGCACACGTGCCAGCTGAGCACGTGCGACCGGATCACCATCAACGTGAGCGGGAAATATTTCGAGACGTGGCGCAAGACGTTAGAGGACCACCCCAACACCCTCCTCGGAGACCCGGACAGGCGGATCAAGTACTACGACAAGCATAAAGACGAGTACTTCTTCGACCGGCATCGACCGACTTTCGACGCTATATTCGAATATTATTTATACGGCGGCGGGTTGAAACGACCGCCGCCCGTCCCGGACGATATATTTCTTTCTGAACTCGACTTCTTCGAGATTGAACGTCCGGTTATCGAGAAATACAGAAGAGGGGAGGGTTACATCACGGAGAACGTGGTTCTTCCAGAACGAGGTTGGAAGAGGAAAGTCTGGATGCTGATGGAGTACCCAGAAACCTCGCTGTACGCCTACATCATCGCCATCATTTCTGTTCTAATCACTACAGCTTCCATTGCTCTGTTCTGTGTGGAGACCCTCCCCGGGCTCAGCTCCGAGCACTGCGTCCAAAACCAGGACCCCAACTGGGGGGATGCTTTTTTTCTCGTGGAGACCGTTTGTTCGGCGTGGTTCACCTTCGAGGTCATCGTCCGGCTCATCTCCTGCCCGAGTAAAATTGCCTTTTTCAAAGATTTTAAAAACTTAGTCGACGTCACGGCCGTGATCCCGTACTACGTCGGGCTTTTCAACATCCTCTCCACCATGTCCTGCGACAGCGCTAAATCCTCGGCGTCGTTAGCGTTCCTGCGGGTGTTTCGTTTAGTGCGGATATTCAAGCTAACGAAACACTCGGCCGGGCTTCAGGTTCTGATTCTGACATTCAAAGCCAGCGTGGAAGGCCTGTGTTTGTTCTTAGTGGCCCTCACCGTCTGCATACTCGTATTCTCCAGCGCCGTCTACTTCGCGGAAATGGGGATCCCTGGGTCCCAAATCAAGAGCATCCCAGACGGGTTCTGGTGGGCCATCATCACGATGTGCACGGTGGGGTACGGTGACGTGGCTCCCGTGGGCCCCATGGGAAAACTCATCGGCTCCATGTGCGCGGTGGCCGGGGTTCTGACTTTGGCCATACCGGTCCCCATCATCACGGAGAATTTTAATAAGTTTTACTCGCACAAGACAGGCAGAGGACGAATATGATACCGCAGGTCTAAGTATACAATTTTATACTTGCTAAAAGTTTACAACTTTACGAAGTATGTAAATAGTTAGTTCATCCTTGAAACAAAATTTAAAAAAAAAATAATGCCAACTCCTGTTACCTAGTTGCATTATAAAAAATACATTTTATTTCTTAAATTAAAACCTAACAACACATAACCTAAACTATTTCATTAACCCCCTTAATAGTAAATTTGTATCTTTTAACGATACCTAGAAGTTAATTTTGTGCCAAATTCCTTCGCTTGATTGCCAGATAAATTATGAACGAGCTCCAAGCCAAACTACCCGGAGCTAACTGGTAATGTACGATTTACCCACAATCGTTGTTATTTTTAAAAAAGTATGGTATACCATGTTGGTTATATTTTCAAATTTTTAGCAACGAGTCTTCTCATTCTATATATATAATTTTTATGCAATTTCTTCAAGTTACTGTTAATCCATTTGTTATTGTATTTACTGTATAAAAAAATCTTAAACTGCTACTTCAAATTTTTAATGAATTAATGCGCGTGATTACTATATACACATTCATTTTAACTAACTCTTCTCCACTACATTAATGTTGTGTTAATTTTTCTAGAATTTTAAATACTAGTTGACTCACAATTGATATTATATTAGATTTGTTCATGTCAATTTTTAATGTTTGTATTTTTGCACTTCTTGAACTAGAATTTGCTAAATATTAATTCGCTTTAAAGATTTTTTTTTTAAAGTAGCGCTAGTTAGCGTAAAGCTGCCTTCGAATCAAACCTACTATAGTCCAGTTAAAAGTAGAGTTCACGACTGCACTTAGGCTCAAATACGATTGGTTTATGACGGTGGAGGCATTATTTCTCGCACTATTTCACGAGTGACCAATGGCCTTATCAGGCCTTACGTGTTTCATGACTTTAAACTTGCGTTTATTTCATTTTTTTTAAACTTAAAAGGCTAATTGGATACGGGGCTGGAACCCCTACATACTTTTTGACTGCGCAAAAGCAAGTGACCAAATAGATTATCTACAAATAAATATGTATGTATATATATATATATATATATATATATATATATATATATATATATATATATATATAGATACATACACGTGTATATATATATATATATATATATATATATATATATATATATATATATATATATATATATATATATATATATATATATATATATATATAATTTATGTGTGCGTGTGTGTGTGAGTGAGTGTGTAGAATAAGCCACGGTAGAACTGATATTAAGAAGTGGTAAATATCTTCTGTGCTGATATAATTATGTGCTGATTAAGCTTAATTATAGCCTTGGTAAAATATCACTGGGCAAGCGCTAATTACTATTCACTGGTCACGGTGACCCCTCATGCCCCCGCGACATTTAAACAGCCATCCTCCCCTAAATAACAGCCCACCCTGCCCCTGTTTTGTTCCATGAGTTTTTTCCCTTTACTTCTCTCCCCTTTTTTTATAGAGACCACAATACTAGTCGATGCTGACCTTTAGGTATTTGATGTAATTGTGTAATGTTAAGGGTTGTTTGTGTTTTGTTTCGTTTGTGTTTTATTTTGTTTTTATTAAAGAGGTGTTTTAGAAGAGTAAAAAAAAAACAATTGTCTAGGATAATGACGGAACGGGGGATAGGTTTCTATAAAAATTAAGTTTTGCTGGTTTAAAAATTGAATTTTAGGCTCCCGTTGTTACGTAAGAGTTGTGTTAAGATTTTAGCTAATTTTTAGGTAGGACGTTTAGGTTGCGTATTAGGCACATGTGAGGATTAGGTTTAAGTTTATGTGTAGTTTTGTGTGTAGAAATTGAGGTTAGGTTTTTTTTTAAATTAGTATTAGGTTTAGAAGAATGAGTTTAATGTTGTGTTTTTATGTTGTTGTTTTGGTGTGTTTTTTCTTGGATTAATATAATAAGTGGGTTGGTTTTAATTCCTTGCTTAGATTAGGCTTAAGTCGGCTTGAATTAGGCTTAAGTGTAAATATACTAAATAATTCTGTTCAGAAATAGCTGCTGTATCATGTCTTAGACAATATTAATCCTAGCTGTCCCATCTACTTTAGACCATCACCTCACTGACTCCTAGAGCTAGACCTCACTGACTCCTGGTGCTAGACCTCACTGACTCTCCTAGATCTAGACCTCACTGTCTCTCCTAAATCTAGATCTAGACCTCACTGACTCTCCTATATCTAGATCTAGAGCTCACTGACTCTCCTAGATCTAGACCTCACTGACTCTCCTAGATCTAGACCTCACTGTCTCTCCTAAATCTAGATCTAGAGCTCACTGACTCTCCTAGAGCTAGACCTCACTGACTCTCATAGAGCTAGAACTCAATGACTCTCCTAGATCTAGAGCTAGACCTCACTGACTCTCCGAGTGTTAGACATCACTGACTCTCCTAGTGTTAGACCTCACAGACTCTCCTAGTGCTAGATCTCACAGACTCTCTCAGAACTAGACCACTGACTCTCTTAGATCTAAAGCCAGGACCTCATTGACTCTCCCAGAGCTAGACCTCACTGACTCATAGTGTTAGAACTCAATGACTCTCCTAGATCTAGACCTCACTGACTCTCCTAGATCTAGACCTCACTGACTCTCCTAGCTCTAGTGCTAGACCTCACTGACTCTCCTAGTGTTACACCATACTGACTCTCCTAGTGCTAGACCTCAATGACTCCCCTAGTGTTAGACCTCACTGACTCTCCTAGATCTAGTGCTAGACTTCACAACCCCCACAATGCTGTACAGAAATGTCCGTGTTTTGTTATTTCTTCCGTGAAATTTTCTAGTATTACAAAGCAGCTAATTAATTGGAGGTGTACATAAATAACGCCACGTGCCCAGGGGAGAGGATTGGAATGTGACTATTGTGACGATTTGCTACGTAGTGGTGGGGTGGGGGGTGCAGAATATGATTTCGTTTTTTTTTAATAAAAAGGGAGTTGTTTTTTTTTAAATTGTTAATGGCAATGTGTGACTATTATTGGGGGGGGGGGTCGATTGAAAAATCAGCCAAGCAGTGTGACGTCTCTTATGGGCGACCTCCTGTAACACATCAACCATTCATCAAACTCATTTCTTTTTAAACTTCTAATTAGTATTTTGCTTCAATACCGCGTGTGTTATAAATAGTATTTCTCTATTTTTTACCTTTTCTTTCAAAACTATAAGCCTGGTGCACACATTTCAATCATTCCTGTTGTTTAAGGATTTTTTTTAAAAGTAGATTCATCTTGCCCAATACATTTCAACAAAGGCGACCAATCACATTGTAAGATTGCGGAGCATGTCACGTGGACATGGACTATAAATAACTCGTATCAACTATAAATAGCCCTAGACATGGCACAAGAGAGAAATGGACTGAGTACAACAAAAAGCTTAGGACAGTGATTAAAGAATGACCTCTGGATTTACAGTTGACCTTTAACCCGAGGTGGATTGAGAGAGGGGTGGTGGCTCACTATACCGTAGGGGGAAAAACACGATTGAAAATGGATCGTTTATCAGGAACTATTTAAGATGGCCCTTTGAATATATTACTCCGGGATACCTTTAGACAGTGTCCCCCACATCACGTTAGCCATTCTCCCCTCCCCCATGACATTACGATATTAACGGGAATATTTAACCCTAATGAGAGGGGGGAGGGGGGAATCATTCATTTAAAGCAGGCGCGTTAATTACTGGTGAAGGTTAGTGTAGAAATAACCTCTTCGTAGATCTCTAATTTGTTTGTGCTACTAAAGAAATATCCACTCAGGGATGGGAAAACATCAAACCTAAAGCAAAACCCTAACCCTAACCCCCTAAGAATGGAGTGATTGTTATAAGACATGCCTGTACACCTAGTAGGTGTTGTACTTGTTCCTATATGGGGTAATCGGTTTTCAAATGTTCCTACCTGTGCTGATCAATTCGAAAACGGTTCAATCTAGGGTGATTGTTTTGAGAATGTTCCTATCCGAGGTGACTGTATTGAGAATGGTTCTACCTAGGATGATTGTACTCTACATGTAAATGCTTTTCTTTCGGATTATTTTTTTACGGATGTTTGAACATGATCTGATTAGGACCAGTTTTAGCCGTGTAAGTTTGAGCAAAAAATTGTTACAAGAAAATGCTCTCTTATAGTGTGCAATGTGCTCAATAAACCACCGTATAATTTATCATAGAGATCAACATATAGTCCATTACAAAATCCCCCAAACTTAGCACCGAACAAGGTAAATTCAGCCACCCAAGCCATTATACAAAACATCACAAAATCCACCACCTCACCCACTATACAATCCACCACTCAATCTACCACACCACCCAATATACAATCTAACATACCATCCACTTTACAATCCACTACACAATCCACCACATCACCCACTATGCAATCCACCATTCAATCAACCCCACTTCCCACTACACAATCTACCATACCACCCACCACACAATCCACCACACAATCCACCACGTGACAGTGATATCTACTTGACATACGCCCCCATCAGAAACCGTGTGATATACATGCCTTATATTTGTAACATCATCTCCCACCCACCACCTCCACTTCCCCCACCAAGTCCCTACAACACTGAAAGATCGTCGAAGTTTTCTCTGCAAGTTTTTTTTATTGAATGCCTTTATTGATCGGTTTTAATAGAAATCTGACAGGACAGATGAGCACAGGGAAGAAATCAATGTTGTTTCTGTACGGTCGGTTTATGATTTGTTTATGTTTTCTTTGTAGTTTGTTTCTCTTTTTTTCAAACTATTCCTTCCTGGGCAGTTGGCTAGACATTTAATATTTGTAAATACACTGGACAAATGCTGTTTTTAACGCAGACGAAGCTAAGCTTTTGAAATTTTGAAGTCTATACCACAAATGTTTTTGATTAATGTTTGTTGTATTTTAAAATACATTAGCAATGTTTGATTAGTGTTTACGTAGCATTTTAAAAGGATAAAAGGCCATA